GAAAAAGAAAGAAAAGAAAAAATGAAAAAGAAAAAAAAGAAGGAAAAGAATTGAAAAAAAAAGAATAATGTTATGCGAATAAGTTGCGTGGAATGGTGTAACAATTTGGAAAAGAGAAAAAGGTGATTGGAATTTGTGAGTGCTTGAGATTGTGAGAAATGATCACTCTCATTTGATTAGGCATGTTTTTGTTCTTTTACCTTGAGAAAAACAATTTTTTGTTACCCAAGCCACATTACAACCCTTAAAGCCCTTGTGATTTTTGCTTTTATACTGTTCAATATGAGATTTTTCTTGATGAATGCATAATTTAACTTGTTATTGACTTGATTGTTGGGTGAGAGTTAAGTTCCTCGTATTTTTTTTATTCATCTACCGATGAAGTGTGTGCTAGGTGTGATTCATTTTTGAACTTTGTATTGTCTTAGAATTTTTGACATGTGTTTTATATTTAGGAGTTGTTTCGTTTTCATGTTATCGTTGTAGTTTAGTGGTATGTTTCACTTTGCATGTACGTTTTTGTGTTGAACCATACATTTGTTTTTGTTTTTCAAAACATGTTGAATCGTGATTGCTTGCTTATAACTTTTGTTTCCTTGAGTTGATCGATTCTTGTTTGAGGACAAACAAGTTTAAGTTGGGGAGAGTTGATAAGTGCTAAAATGTACTGATTTTGAGTGTAAATAATTAGCACTTATTGGCTTGATTCAACCAATAAACCTCAACTTTTGTGCATATGTTGTATAGTTTAAATTATAGTGTATATATTGTGTGTCGCGTAAATTTTAGTGAGTTTAATTTATTTTTTCTCATTTTTTAGGTAAATGAGCAATGATATTTTGTCATTATCTGATAGAGCATTGAATAAGCTTTCCAACACTTCCAACCGCACGTAAAACGGAGTTACGGTTCAAGAGTTATGGTCGAAACAAGAAATGGTTTGCTGTCATGTTCGCTAAGCGAACATCAGTTCGTTAGGCTACTCGCTAAGCGAGTACTGGGACTCATTTTTGTCTATTTAAGTGATTTTTCAGCATTTTTTTGTACTGGGACTCATTTTCGTTAGGGTATGTTGTTTCGGAATATTTTACCCCAACTTCATCAAACACATTCTTGAGTAGATTTAGCTTAGAAACAACATTTGAGGGTGCATCTTGACGATCCGGAGTCGAATCCACTTCAATCAGAGTTGACAGACCGTGAGATTTGTGTTCTTATTCCTTCCTCTCTATGTATTTTTCATTTTTTGGGGTTTTGTATGTAAGTTTATCTGTATTGTATGTATATTTATGGATCTTTGTATAAAATCTCTTTTACAACTCTTTATCGATGGTTATCTTGATTTTTTGCTTAATGGGTTTGGATTGCTATAGATATATACTGTTTGAACTCGATCTAAGATGAACATCTATTAGATTCTAAATGCTAGAGATAGATTTAGGACTAATATTCACGCGGGTATCGATTCTTAATGCTCCGTGTTGTCGATTTGTGTAAGAGATCAACAATGAGACGATACGGTTGATCTCTCGACTTTGCGATTAGAGATAACTTCTGTTGTGAGCGATATGTGATGATATTGACGAGCGAATTAGGTTGCGTGCATTTGATCCATATATTTTTTAGTACATGATGGGTAGAACGAAATACAACTCCTGACGAGTTTTCTCATTTCTTAAGAATGTATTTATTTTCTTGTTTTATGTGTTTTTCCTTTTGAATTTTTATCCCAAACCATTTAAACCCAAGCTTAGAGACGTAGAGATGGTCGAACGACATTCTTTCCCTCACACTGATCCCTGTGGAGACGATAAATCCCGGAGGAAATTCTTCCGAAAATAATATATTTGCTTGCTGCTTTACCGCTTCAACAAAATGGCATCGTTGTCGGGGATTGGTTTTGATATTGAGTCGCATTGCGATAGTTTCTTTATTTCTAAGCTTTTCACATAATTGTATATATGCTTGTTTTTCTTTTGTCTTCGATTATGTTTGTTCAAGTGTTGTATATATTTTGTTCCCGTAACGTTTGTTCAAGTGTTTGGTTTGGACACTTTGTTCAAGCACGCACGTAAGCACGCACGCACGCACACGCTCACAGACCCACAACTTCTACAGATTGTTTATCCGCTTGAACATTGTAGATTCTCAGCCCTTTTCCATCATGAGAGATTAAATCATGAGAGATTCTCAGCCCTGTTCTAGCCTTGGAAATCAAGTGTTTGAGTAAGATCACACCCGTTATCCTTTAGATTTTTTAAATCCACCATGGTTTCACAAAGAACGTGAAGATCAGCTACCGGCGTGTCGAAAGTGATAGCAGGTTTCTCTGGAATACTGAACTTATTTATTTGTTGTTGAGGATCCATTGAAGAAGATGGACTACAAGAAAATTTGGGTTTTACGACACAAAAATTGCGATAGTTACTTGATAACCGTCATAACTCTAATATAGAGACGCGTTTCGCAACAATATACACCTACCGCCCTTACATTTTTAAAAGATTATTAAATATTACGACTGTTATCATTAAACCGCCCTAATTTTATGTCACGGTGGTAGAACAACCGTCGCCCCCTAAACCCAGTAACACAAACTATAACCAATGGCGGATCCAGAATTATTTGTTTGTAGGGACTAAAAATTAATCTATAAATTTTGAATAAATAAATGACTAAAAATTAAAATATTATATATTCTCAAAATAAAACATAAATTTTAAAAATAATTTTTTTTTAGTAAAAATTAAATTCAAAATATCAAAAGTTTACTACATATCAAAATTTTATAAATAATTTTTATAGTAAAAATTAAACATAAAATTAAACATAAAATTAAACTATATATACTCTTAATATTATAAAATAACAAATACATAAAACAATTCAATAACATCCATTTATCAAAGAGAAATAAAAAAATTAATTAAAATAAAATTGTATATGTCGACTATGAATCTACCGTCGCGTGTTCAAAATTTTCAAAACCTTCACCCTCAGGTTCCCTCACTACCGTGACGGTGATATCCATCCGTCGTCATCTAAAATTTCATCTTTTCCGCTAAAACTGAGAATTCATTCCCCTTTTATGTGCCTTTTTTTCTTCTTTTTCAGAAACCTCCGCTCACACCCTTGGAGAAAGAGGGAAACAATTCTGTGTTTTCAGCCACTCTCGCCGTCATTGCGAATCACTGTCAAAGCAACCACCATCAATTTGAATCTTAACAGGTTTGTCTTCTCAAACCCTAAATTACTTTTCAAACCTTGAATTAGATCCATGTTTGGATTTTACTCAGCATTTTGTATTCAATTGGTTTGGATTTTAAGCATTATGTGTTTGATTTCTCTGTTTTGAGAGTTAAATTTGAGTAAGAAAATGGATTATTTATCTGTGTGGACGTGTTATGTCGAGTTTCTTGATACTGAAGGATTGCGGTTGCAAATTCTGGTATAGAATCTTTATTTGAAACATTGTATATTGTTAATTCAATGGTTTTGTCCTGAGTTGGTGACAGGCTCGGTTTTATTTCCAGTGATCGTATCTGGTTGCGGTGGTTACTTTATCTATTGTGATTGTTGTTTAATTTAGATTCCTTGGCTTGTTTGATCGTGTCTGCCCATATTACTATTAATCTTTAGATTGCAGCATCATATTTGGCAGTGTAGTGGAAGGTGCATTAGGAAAAATCTGCATCCTTTAATTGAAAGTGGTTGTATGCTATTGTAACATTATTTGTATTGGTGTACATGGCCGGCCCTTTACCGGAGCAACTAGTTTTGTCAAAAACAAAACGACGCACCACCATCCACGGTCCACCATAAGTTTACGGCAACATCGGAGACACAACAAAACAACTTCATCACGGTGATAGGTACCGTTGCAGTTAGTTGTCATTAATTTTATGTTTGCAGATAGATGATCAAATACCTTTATTTCAGTTTATAGCATAAGCTAGTTACACACTGTTTTACAGTCTAAAGGCCTCATTTTAGTTGCAATTAGTTGTCAAGTCTAAAGACCTCATTGTACACACGATTGCTCTTTTATGAGGGTCTCTTTTTAGTTACAGTAGGAACATAAGCTAGTTACACCTTTTATTTATGTGATCCTAAATGTGATAAGGTTTATGTTATTATCATGATGAGCAAATATTTCTAACTTGTGACATTAGACCCTTTGAATGTTTTTTTTCCATACAATATAGTAGAAAAATACCAGTTACTTTCACAACAAGTTACACGAATACAGATAAAACAATTACACATATTACTGATCATAGCATGAGCCTGCAACATCGGGTTCCCTTATAGCATAAAAGTTTATGACAGGAGCTGCCGCGACGCCTCGTCTATTTAACAAACATCAAAAATGTTGCAACCGCGGCAATGCCGTTAAGGTAACATTTTTCCACAGAAGTAGAATCTCTCGGACTCCACAACTGTTCTGCCAAAAACAACTAGCAGTTACATATATTATTGCCTTGTCTCTAAAACCTAGACTTAGGGTCTTATCTACACCTCTAGAACAATTAGAAAAACTTAGAACTTTGCCAACTGCTTTTTTTCGCTTCTGTTGCTTTGTATAGAAGGTGGTACAGTGTTGCCACTTTTTTTGAGATTGGATCTCAGTTTTGGAGCAGTGTTTCGTTTTGCAGACTCAAGCTGAGATTATTTTTGTGTATGGGTTATTTTGATATGTAGTGCATTTCGGTGTTGCGTAAGAGTAACCTCAGTTGCGTTAATGTTGCTTTTCTGTTGTAGCAGAGTTTGTCTATTGTTCATAGAGTTGTAGGTGTTTTAGTTTTAGTTTTGCTGATGTGAATCTATTTTCATGTACCCAAAACACAAACTAAGTCAAGCTCTAAAGCACTTTGAAAGCAAAGACTATCAATCAAATACTACACTTGAGAAAACATCAACAAACATCAAAAGAAGAAAAAAGAAAAGAGCAACTTTTATGATTCAGCTAGAAAATTCCAACTACGACTCTATCCCCTGCTTCACGTGTACTCAAGGATCATGTTGTTTTCTGGAGCCAATCCAACACAAGCTCTCGTGATGTTTTCTAGCATTGCTCGCTGCTTGGACAATGCATTCACCACTGGTGTACCTGGTGGAACCTGCAAATAAACATAATAACATAACATTATAATAAATGAATTTGTCTCTTGAAACTGGATTTCAGTGTATATGTATGTACTCAAACATTGAATCAGATGATTGAACTCACTAGAAGAGCCTTGGTCAGATAACTGAGGATGGTAGCAACAGGGTGGAATGTGTGAAACTTGCTCTGCAAAAACCAAAAAATAGTTCATCTCAGATATAATACATAGGCTAGTACAACAATCAATGAATGGAATTAATTAGCATTGCACACAAACCTCAGTTTTAGATTTGAACTGAATTCTAGTGCTGAGCTCAGCAAGAAGAACCAAGTCTAAGATAATAGGGGCATTTAAGAGGGAATCCTCACATGTGTTGTGCAACACAATAGTGTTCTTTCCGCCCATGAATATTTCTGAAGTATACCCATCCATGGCTCTCTTGCTGTCTCTTAAAGTGCTTTAGAGCTTGACTTAGTTTGTGTTTTATGCTAGAACAATTAGAAAAACTTAGAATAAATAAGAAACTACCTTATCATCTATGCCACGAAATGAAGTAGTGTAAGGTTTATGATAGAATATGTCGCGACATCAGGTGCCCTTCTAGCATAAAAGTTTATGACAGAAGCTGCACAACGCCTTGTCTATTTAACAAACATCAAAAATGTTGCAACCGCGGAAATGCCGTTAAGGTGACAATATTTCTTGTCTGAATGATGATGATGGTGATGCCGAATAAATAGTTGGGCTTTAGGCCCTGGTGACCCTAGTCGTACTCCAGTATACTTGATATATTGTCTTATGTTTTTTGGGTTAGTGTTGTTTAATTGTTATAGACCATTATATTTTGAGCACAGGATTTTATCTTTAAAAATTACATGAACTATGTTTTAAAAATTACATGGGACTATGTTGTTGTGCACTCGGGTTCTTATGTTGTGGCTGATCAATTACTGCTGGTAAGAGTAGTTGAACAAAATTTTCTGTTCTTTTTTCTATCTTTGCCATATTCAAGGCTTTACAATCGGCTTTTTGCTGATTGAGAAAAATTTCCCACGAAATCTATCTATTATTTTCTGCTCATTACCACTTGTTTCTCACCCAAGCAAAAATCATCATATGAGAAAATAAAAAGGCATTTGTACAATAAGTCTAAATGGATTTTATAAAGTACCTCTACCTTATAGATAAAAGTTTTCCATTTGAATTATTCTACCTAGACATTCTATCCTTTTTTATTGGAAAAAAAAGGCAGTTTTGACTACTGCTTGGCATGGATAGCAAATCTTGATGTTCTCTGCCCCAAATGTGATTGCAACTTGTAATCCTCATTAAGCTCCTTCAAAATATTTTGCTGAGACAAATACCCTAAAATGAGAAGATACAATGCAACATAAATAATCACATCAAAACCATTATTAACTCAAAGGCTATGGTGTAATTCTAAGAAAATTTAAGATTATTGTTATTATTATTATATTCTCAACATTCACATTATTTTTTAACTTTGTACCATCCTCATTTTTTCTAAATATTCAACTGTTTTTTTATCATCTTCATCCTTAAGATTTCCAATCCCTCTTATCATCTTCATATATTTTGTAATTGAAAAAGATTTTAATATATGTTAATTTCTACACCATGAATCAAATAATGTATATGTTGAGAACTATCATAGGCCGGATAATGAAGTTAGGTCCAATTGTAAAAGTTAAGGTTGATAATCATTTACAAATTATGATCAATCGAAACATTCATCAATAAAATCAAAATATCTAGCATAAACTTTATTTAATAATAATTTATAAAAAAGAATGAATCAATACTCATCAATTTAGTAATTAAAGATAAATTCATTGGCCTAATTAAAGAAAAGTTAATTAGTTGTGGTGTAAATATTCATAGCTAAAGAATTTGAGAAAAAAATAAGTAAATTACAAGAAAAGAATTGAACTTTAATGATGATAGAGCGTCAATCTTTGTCTTCTAGAACTCTGAAGTTGTCTCTCTATGATCAATATTTAGAATTCCTTTCTTTTAAACTAGATTTTGCCACGTATAAGGTTTATGACCGAAAAAATTGCGATGACTTCATTGATCTGATGTGTCATGTTGAGTGAAGGGAAATCATGTCATAAACCATTTTTCTTAGAATGTCCTAGGTAACATGTTATGAATAACGCAAATTTTCTTACAATGTCAATTTTCTATATGAGCTTGTTAATTCTAAACAAGATGATGATGTTATTGTCACAACATTAGTTTATGTATTTTTTTCTTTAATACTTACATTGATATCCTGTTTAAAATTAAATGTATGTCTTGGGTTCATTTTGGTTAGTTTGTGATTATGAGGCTAGAGTGTGACTTTTGTCTTTCAATGGCATCTGATTCTATTGCTGTAAATATTTGTATTTAGAGTGTTTGCTTCTTTTTTTTTATAGGATTTGCTTTGAAGTTTACTGTTGTATCTATCTATGTCTATTTTTTTAAGAAATGGATAAGTCATGGATTACTAAGCCACAATCATCGAGTGCATATCAGCAAGGGATAAAAGAATTTATTGATTTTGCATTTAAAGGTGCAAAAGAAAATGACGTAGTAATATGCCCTTGCAAACACTGTGGTTTTAAAAAATCAAAGAGTAGGAGTGACATGTTCGACCACTTAATGTGGTTACCATTTCCGCAGGGATACACCATGTGGATTCATCATGGAGAGTCCTTTGTTGTACCTAGTACTATCTCCCCTAGTACTACTCAAAATATGGTTGAAGATACTATCATTTTCGAAGATCCTATTTATAACATGATCAACGATGCATTTGGAGTTGATATGAGTCATACTAATGAAATACCATTTGCGTCAAATTTAGAGATTGGCCAAGAAGATTATGCGATGCTAAGTGCAACTCAGAAAAGAAACGAAGCCAAGGAGTACTATGAATTGGTTAGAGAATGAGAACAACCTTTATATGAAGGGTGTAGACGATATTCAAGACTATCTTTTTTGTTTAAATTGTACCATATAAAGTGTTTATGTGGATTGAGTGAGAAGGCAATGACAATGGTTTTAGAGTTAATTAAAGATGCATTTGAATATACAAACATTCCAGGTTCGTTCTATGAAGCCAAGAAATCAATCACAAAACTTGGTTTGAATTATGTAAAGATACCTGCATGTCCAAACTGTTGTATGCTTTATTGGGGAGAAGATGAAGAAAGGGAGACTTGAAAAAATTGCAACACTTCAAAATGGAAAACAAATGAAGCGGTCTTTGTTAACAAGAAAAAGAAAAAAAATTCCTGCCAAGGTTCTTTGTTATTTTCCATTAAAACCTCGACTACAGAGATTGTTTTTGTCATCAAAGACGACCGAGGATATGAGATGGCATGCAACAGATGCTAACAACGATCGAATGTTGAGGCATCCTAGAGATTCAGAAGCTTGGAAGAAATTTGACTTGACACATACTTAGTTTTCATCAGATCCGCGAAATGTGCGTCTTGCATTGGCTAGTGATGGTTTTAATCTTTTTGGCGTGATGAGTACAAACAATAGTATTTGGCCAGTTGTTCTCATTCCATATAACACTCCTCCATGGGTTTGCATGAAACAAACATCATTTATAATTTCAATGATAACTCCCGGAAAAGAAGCACCAGGAAATAATATTGATGCCTACTTACAACCCTTAGTCAAAGAGCTGAAAGAGTTATGGACAAATGGTATGGATACATAGGATTCTTTCAAGAAAGAGATGTTCAAGTTGCATGCAAATTTGATGTGGACGATTAATGACTTTCCAGATATGGGTGCACTTTCTGGGTGGAACACATACACAGGGCTTTCAAACTACACCTCTCCGTCTTAAAGCTAGTCGTAAATGGTGTTTTATGGGTCATCATCGTTTCCTTGATCGGAGACACATGTTTAGATTGAACAGTGTCGCTACTACGAAAATAAGGTGCCGGCAATGACAGAAGAGTCGCCACCTTTCGTTATTTATCCCTCAGAACAGGAAAGGAACGATCGGGAAAAACCTGACGAAAAGGTATAAGACAAGGTCATTGCAACCATTGTCTGGATTCGGGAGTCGGTTACGCAAGGGGAAGGTATTAGCACCCCTCACGTCCATCGTACTCGATGGGATCCATGCTTGTTGTGTTTATCTGACGGGTTTATTACATCTATCTACGCTAAAGGTCTGGTCTGAAAAGAAAAGAAAATGACTCGGCAAAGCGTCGCACTTTATGCCTACGTATTCCCATCTGGAATGAGAAATCAGAGTCAACGTAGTTCGCCTAACTACGGGTTATGGGGGAAGGTTGCTCGCCAAGATATCGCATCTTGTGCCTACGTACTTTCATACGGCATGAAAGATTAGAGCAAACATAGTTCGGGCCACGGAGAACACAGGTTTGTTCAGCTGTTTTTTATCCAAGTAAAGTTAACAGACAGTTCCAACTGATGGTGTTTGCAGCTCGATCCTTGGAGACTTACGCGTTACCGTCCGCAGTAGAACTGAAAGTTAACAGAACTTCTCCTTCTGAAAAAGGGTTTTCCTGATTAAGGGTCCAAGAGGACGAAAAGGATTTGAGTGTTTGTTTTCTGTTTTTTATGAAAGAAGTGTTTTTTAATTGTCTGTAGTCTGTACAACACTAGAGACTATGACTTAGGAGCGAATGCGTCGCATATCGTCCAACGTACATATACTAAACACTCTAGATGATTTGAGAGGAGACCACTCAAACATCATTTCCCAAGTAGCTTAAGGCTCGTAACGCACTTGTACTAACTTGCCTTTATTATGTTTTTTACTGTTGTTTGAGATGAGAAGAGAAACAGACTCTCTACGGGGGACTGACTCGATCCTACAGCTATCATGCAATATTCGCCCTACGGTTGAGGTTAAAGGGGAAACTAACTACTATTATCATGCATGGTTAGAGTCCTAATGCCTGTCATAACTTCTCTTGAAGAAGAGAAGTCAGAGTTCTAGGGGAACATGGTAATGGAAATCAAACAGTAAAAGAAAACTGTACAGGAAATTACTGTAAAGATGCATGCAATGCAAGTGAGGTAGGAAATGTGTGTGGGGCATAAGCCTCCACAAGCTCATCTCAACCTCAAGCCAGATATGAATAACAGCAAAGAAAGTAAAAGAAAGTAAATGCAGTTAAACAACCTACAAACCACACAGGCAAGGGAGCGAAGCTCTACCGAATACCAGCAAGCAAAGCCATACAGTAACAATACAAGCAGAGGGAGAAACTCGACCTCTAATGCAATACAAGCAAGGGGAGAAACTCAACCCTTAGGATGCTCTTAGGCCTATTCAACTACATGACCTAATATAAATGCAACACACCAATTAAGTCACATCAATACACATCAATACAACTAAACAGACAGGGAAAACAGACCAGCAATCT